ATTCTCTTTTAATTTTTCTAATTTTGAATATTATTTTATTTTTTATTCTTAATTTTAATTAATCTCGTATTGGATTCTTATATGGATTCTTATTTGAATATTGCTTATTTTTAATTCCAAATTTCAGCTAATTTTAAATTGTATTCCTACTTGAACTCTTTTTTTTTTGCTAATTTCAGATTTTATTTTTTTTATTCCAAATTTTAATTAATCTCGTAATTGGGTTCTTATATGGACTCTTTTTTTAATATTCCTTATTTTAATTCTGATTTTCAGCTATTTTAAAATTGTATTCCTACTTGGACTATCCTTTTCTTTTCTAATTTTTATTTTATTTTATTTTTATTTTGAATTTTTATTAATCTCGTATTGGGTTCTTATATGGAAACTTCTTTCAATATTGCTTATTTTTATTTCCGAATTTCAGCTATTTTAAAATTGTATTTCTACTTGGGTCTCTTTTTTTTCTTTCTAATTTTGGATTTTATTTTATTTTTATTTCGAATTTTGATTAATCTTGTATTGGATTATTATATGGAAACTTCTTTCAATATTACTTATTTTTAATTCCGAATTTCAGCTATTTTTAGATTGTATTTCTACTTGGACTCTCCTTTTCTTTTTTTTCTTTTTCTCCGATTAATGTGGAAATTTCTAGCCCCCACAGTGAACGTGGTGCCTTCTTTCAAAGCTGTATTTTATTATAAATTAAATTTTAGTTGTTAAAAATAATATCATTGGATATTCATTTAAATTTAATTTTATATAATTATGATTTTGTTGCTACAATGAAAAATTTAAAGTTAAAGTTTAGTTTTTAAGACTGTACTAAATTTGGACACGCCTTAGCGAGTTGGACGGAGAGATGTATCTCTACCAATGCATAAGTTTTCTGGTCTATTTACTCTTTTTTTTTCATCCATAGGTAAAAAAAATATCACATTTTAATTCTAATTATACCGGCTCCAAAATATATATGCACGCACTGTGTTTGAATCCTAATCACCTGATCTGTTGATTGATCCTTAGTATCCATATAGGATAAGGAAAGAATCAAAGCAGGAGTACGTCCACCTATTTGGACTTGTATTCTATTACTTAATCAGTGTTGTCCGTTTGATCTAGCAGTTGTTTTCTATTCAGACTTCTATTATCAAAGTTAATCTACACCATCAAAGTTTAGTCCCAGTATAATCTAATAGTATAGATTTTTCTTTTTTCTCCGATTAACGTGGGAATTTCTAGCCCCCACAGCGAACATGGTGCCTCATTTCAAAGCTGTTTTAATAATATAATAGATAGATAGATAGATAGATAGATAGATGGATGGATGGATGGTTCTCACAGAACACGGGCCGGTGGTGTACACTCGTTTAGGCCCAAAACAGGCTTCCAAGCAGGCCTGGTAGGGTCGGACGTGAGTCGTGGCACAACCTTCTAAAACTAACGCGCACCTGACTTCTACGAATGTAGGGCCTGTTCACTTTTATACCATTTTCAATCTTACTAAATTTTAATAAAATTGTTAAAAAAATGGCTATATTTAATTTGCTGCCAAATTTTAATAACTATATAAGAAATCCTATAAAAATTTTGGCAAGCCAAAATTTGATAATGTTTTTTTTCATCAAAGTGAACAGGCCCTTTAACTCCTATGAGTATTTGTTACATTTCTGTTTATAAATGGATCATTTTTCATTTGTCACTTTTACGTTTATTTATATTGCCTAAAAGAGATTTGTAACTACATTTCGCGAACGTGAAAAAAGAGACAAATTTTTCTATAGGACATCGCGACTTCGTGGTATTAGCTGTGGGACACCGCACAAAGTTATTTTTGGAGGAAGACACTCTTAAAATGTGGTAATTTTCTAGTGGACACCGCACTCATTAAAATAATAATTTCCGATAGAAGGGGAGAAAAAAATCATGTGAAATGTCATAAATACCCCTAGGCCCACTTGTTATATTCTTCCCCGAACTCCCTCTCACAATCCTGCATATCCTCCGGTCACCGACGTCATGGACGGCGCCTCTTCTCCATCAAGCAGCTCAACTCGTTCGGCGCCACGGCCGTGCTCGTCTTTTCCAGCATCCAGCTCCGCGCTGCCGTCGGGGAGAAGACGTCGTCGCCGACACCGCTCCATCTCCACCCCCACCGAACTGTTGCTCCGCTCGGCGCTTGCCGGAGCCGAGCCGCGCCGCTGCCTTCCCCACCGCCAGCCGTCTCCCCTCGACGGTCGCCGCGGCGGCCATGGCGGCGACGGACAGCGTCATGCCGGCACCGATGCGCTGCATCTCGGTCAGCCCCCTCTTGTTGCTGGTGAGCCGCCGCACCGCGGGCACTACCGCGGCATCGTAGAGCGGCACGAGGATGAGCATGGCGGCGGCGTAGACAGAGTGGAGCGACGCCGCCGGGATGGCAAACGCGCCAGCTCCGAACCCGAGGCGGCGGCGCATGGCGCGGCCCTGCACCGTGAAGAGCGGCTGCTGGACGAGCACCATGCAGTAGACGATCCCGGTGGCCCTGGTCCACACCGGCAGCATCCGCACGATCACCTTCAGCTCATCCACCTGCGTCACTGTGCACAGCCTCCACGGCTGCGCCGCTGCCGCCGCAGCCTCGCCCCCCCCCCCACCAACGATGACACCGCCACCGCCGCCGCAGCCTCGCCGCGTTGTCCAAGAACCTGAACTGGTCGGTGTGCGCCAGCTTCTGCCCGCACTTTGGCGGACCGTCGTAGAGGACGAAGCTGTCGTGAGGCAGCGCGACGTTCCTCTTACTGATGGCGGCGACGACGACCTGGCAAGCTCGCACCACAGTTCTGCCATGAGGCTGGTGCCTGGTGGTACCTGTACATGGCGGAGCCGAGGAGGAAGCTGGCCATGGCGAGGACGGTGCAGAGAGCCGGGACGCCGAAGCCGACGAGCCAGCCGAAGTTGTCCTGCAGCCACACCATGGCGGAGCCGGAGACGAGGGCGCCGACGAGGAAGCGAAGGCGGCGAGGAGGAGGAAGCAGGCCACGGCCAGCGCCGCCGCGAAGGACTTGCCGCGCCACCTGCCATGGTTGGGTGAGAGATAAGAGATGGGAGAGCTGACAACTGGGTCCAGGGGTATTTTTGACATTTCACGTGATTTCTCTCTTCCCTCCTACCGGAAATTATTATTTTAATGGGTGCGGTGTCCGCTAGCAAATTACCACATTTTGAGAGTGTCTTCCTCCAAAAGTGACTTTGTGCGGTGTCCTATGCCTAAAACCGCAAAGTCACTGTGTCCTGTAGCAAAATTTGCCAAAAAAAATATATATGTCAATACATTAGAAGAGCATAGTTAAAACAATTATGTTTTCTTAACTACTCCCTCCGTTCCAAAATATAACAACTTTTGGATAGATAAGATATATCATCATACTATGAATCGAGACATGCAAGCGAGCTCACTAGTCAATCTTACGTATATGGGTAAGTATACATTATACCTATGAGAGACGAAATTCCTCCATCTTCAAATAAATCAATTACAGGCTATGAATCTGAATAACTTGTAATTGTTTTATTTTGAGATGGATGATATACACAGTATTGTGGCAGTACAACTCGCAGGGCACGACACCATCCCTACCTCCTGTTTGGGGGAGTTTTTGGCAGTGGCATCTTATAGAATCTTCAGTTGTCAGAAGCTTTGTCAAATAGTTCATATTTTCACTTAAATTCTATAAAATTGTAGTTGTGTAATTTAGAAAACAAACTAGAAGACAAAAACTGGATTTTCCAGCTTTTCCATATATATTCTCACCAGCTGTTTCTCGAAACCTTAATCTCTCAAAAAAAAAAAAAAGATCTTAGTCACGACATAGATGGTCGTGACTCAGCAAGGGTGAGATTAATACGCATATATCTTGGCCGATATATGGTTTTAGGCCCCGTTCGATCTCTCTTTGGGAGATAGTTTTTTTTTCACGCAAAACAAGAAATATCATTAGCATATGATTAATTAAATATTAACTATTATAAATTTAAAAAATGGATTTATTTGCTTTCTTAAAACAACTTTCTATATCGAATTTTTTTTAAAAACACACCATTTAACATATTAAAAAAACGTGCAAATGAAAAAACGAGAAAGTTAGAATTTGGAGTTGAAGAATATAACTGAGCCTAAGTACCATTCAACTCAAGTACGGATGCAGGCTGCTTGTAGATACACATATAGATATAGTGCGTGTCTCTGCTTCCTTGTTAAAATCGTGGTGTATGGTATCGTCACATATGCTACCACGTTTTAAAATATAATATTTTTAACGCTCAAAATTAATTTTAAGTATGGGGTTGATCGGAAGTGCTGGCTGTCAGTCAGCCCCAATCCAAACCAAAGAGTATTTGCTGCAGCTGTGAATGGGCAGCCAACACAACCGATCAAGCACTATAGCTATATCTCCATCTAGTCTTTCCAAATTTATTTAAGATAATAATAACAATTACATCTCGGTCACTGTTAAACAGCACACATTCAACGAGCCAAAGAAAAAAAAACAAAAATATTTGAGATTATATGACAAATCCCTGTCCCCCTCCCAATGACATCCAACTAAAATACCGAATAGAGGACATGTAACATTTATAACAATGCTGGAGATTATTACTCCCTCCGTCCCCATAATACAAGGGATTTTGAGCTTTTGCTTGAACTGTTTAACGACTCGTCTTATTAAAAAATTTTGGAATTATTATTTATTTTTTATGACTTAATTTATTATCTAAAGTACTTTTTATTTTCCTATATTTGCATAAATTTTTTAAATAAGACGAGTGGTCAAACAGTTCAAATAAAAACTCAAAACAGTTCAAATAAAAACTCAAAATCGCTTGTATTATGGGACGGAGGGAGTACCTTTACTCCCAACCGCAGATGCGTTTCAGGCAACCCAATCCTCAGTAGATGAAAAAGGAAAAAGAAAAACAAAACAGGCAATAACTAAAGTGAAAAAAAAAAACAAAGCAAAAGTATGTGACTCGATGAGACGAGGGGTCCAAATCCCAGGAACATCTTCGAGAAAGCACAAGCTCGACGCCGGCTAAACCCGCGGAAATCCCCTTCCGCTTTGTCTCGTTTCCTCCTCCTGCCCCCTCGGCACTGCACCGCCGCAGCTTCCACCATGGCCGTCGCCAGCGAGGCCGCTTGTCGTCGGGCGGCTAGCTGCTTCTTTGAGGTCGGCAGGCAAGAGATCGGCTCCTCCACCCCGCGCGCCTCCTCGCGCCGAATCAGCGGCTCCGAGGTGCCCCTTTCTCGGTTTTTAATCCCATATGATCCTGGTGTCTGATTTCTTGGAACCTTCTAGGTGTTGATCTTGTAGAGTTCGCAAGTCACTAAGGAAGTAATAAGGCCGCGTATTTTTGCCCGTAAGGGAGGATGGATCATGATGGCCGTATTCGTGAATCGTGAAGTACTATTTGATACTACTTGTTCTTGTTCGTAACAGTTCAGTTTGCATAGGCATTATGGAGTTAATGCTGTAAAATTCATATCTTACGACTTTATGAGTCCGCCGATACGAATTGAGTACTGTCAGGGTCCATGGATTAGGCACACTTAAATTGATAATATTGTTTGGATAAATTTTGATTATACTACCGTTTCATTTGTTTGTAACTTGTAGAACATTTTCTGGATGTTTCATTGAAGTCTGATCATACTAGTTTATTGTGATTGTTATTGTTGTTCAAGAATGTGTATATGTATGATTGGAGTACTTCCTGAGATAAATTACTAAAGTCATGTGACAACCTTTCTGATTTTTTTTTTTTTGTAATTGCTTCTTTCTATAACACCGAATATCTCATTGTCATGTTGGACTAGTTACAATTCTTCTTTCCTCCAATTGTTTAGGGCCTAGTGATGCGGATGCATCAGTATGGAAAGTTGCGAGGCCATGATGGTTGTGTTAATACTGTCAGCTTCAATCCTGCTGGTAACCTCCTTGTGTCTGGTTCGGACGACATGGACATCATATTATGGGATTGGCTTGCTAAAACACAAAGGCTCATTTACCCTTCTGGCCATCAAGAAAATGTTTTCCATGCTCGTGTAATGCCATTTACAGATGATAGCGCCATTGTAACTGTTGCTGCTGATGGTCAGGTTTGTATCTATCAACATCTGAGTTGTGTTCTAATAGTAATACTAATTTAATACCACCATGTTATTCGCAATTATTCCCATAAGCATGTTGTGCGGTTACTTTTGTGTTCTCCACAAGTCGTAGCAATCAGCTTCATGTTGCATGGAACATTATAATAATTGTATTCGTTTACTGGTACATGCACTATTTGGAAAGAGACTTAGATCTCTGAATTGCATGCAATTACTAAGAGAAAGACTAGGTTTTTTTTTGCGTATAACATAGTAAGTTTGCAACAAAAAAAACCATAGATATATCTAACCCTTTTACTTGTAGTTTATTTTCTTATTTTGTTTGCAATGGATGTAGTTTTGAAGTAAACCTATATCTCTGTTTTTACACTTGTTGGTTATATTGGAAATGACTTCTCTACCAATCAACTGAAAATATTAGTAGATAAAGTGATAAACACATTAGCATATTTTACTTTTCTGTTATTTGCAATCCGATATAATTTTTGATAACATGCCATATACCCAGGTTAGAGTGGGACAACTGAACGAGGGTGGTGAAGTCACAACCAAACAAATTGGGGTGCACGATGATCGTGCACATAAGTTGGCCATTGAACCAGGAAGTCCTTACATATTTTACAGTTGCGGGGAAGATGGTTTGGTACAACATGTATGTCACTCAAAACAATTTTCTGCAATTGTGGCAACTGTTTTGTGATAGCATGTACATTGAACATTTATTTCTTTACAGTTTGACTTGCGGAATGATTCACCAATGAAGCTCTTCAGCTGCTATTCATTCTCAAATAGCAGGCGTCGTGTAAGGCTTAATACCATTGCCATTGACCCTTGGAACCCTAATTATCTTTCAATTGGTGGTTCTGATGAGTATGTGCGGGTATATGATTTGAGGAGAATCCAGTTGGGTGCTTCAAATGACATGAACCAACCTGTAGATACCTTCTGCCCTAAGCACCTTATGGGTGGGAAGGTCCACATAACTGGTATTGCATACTCCTACGCAAGGGAGATACTTGTCTCTTACAATGATGAACATATCTATTTATTCCAAAACAATATGGGTCTTGGTCCAAATCCTGAATCAGCGCAAGCAGAGTTCTTGGACAGGCTTGAGCAGCCACAGGCATACACAGGCCACAGAAATTTCCGAACTGTTAAGGGAGTCAGTTTTTTTGGACCGAACGATGAATATGTCTTGAGTGGATCGGATTGTGGGAATGTATTTGTATGGAGAAAGAAGGGAGGTGAACTATTGAGGATGATGCATGGTGACAAAAGTGTAGTTAATTGCATTGAACCCCATCCACATTTTCCGTTCCTAGCTACTAGTGGGATTGACAAAACTGTCAAGATTTGGACACCTTCAGCAAATAAAGTGATGTCGCTGCCTAAAAACGCAAAGCAAGTAAGTTGTATTGACATAAGTAATGTTGGACTTGTATTTATCCATTTCCTTTTTTTTATGTTTTACGTTATTTTTATTTTGTCCCTTAATAGATAATAGCTTCCAACAAGCGGGCGAGAGAAATTGATGCATCTCGACCGGAGCTGACGCTTTCATCCGACCTCATCATGCATGTTTTGAGGTTGCAGAGGAGACAGTCTGAATTGTACAGGGAGCATGAACCAGCTACTGCAGATTTGGCAAGTGATGATGATGAGTCTTTCTTCGCTGGGTTTGATGATGCCAATAGGAATGTAAGATCTAACTCTGATCCAAGGGAATGCATTGTGACATGAAAGGAACTGAAGATTTACAGCCTGCCCCTTATACTTTTAGCCTGCAGCCTGATGCCCTGATATACCATGCTATGCTGCATATGCAGGGCTTAGCAAACGATGCAACAAGAGGAACACAGATACTCATGATACGTGCCGGCAAGATTAAACGGTTAGGACTTAAGAGTGTGACGACCTACCTTGATAGTGTTGTAAACCAGGAGTGTTACTGGGTGTTTTCATCTCATGTACTTAGTCTAGTATTAGTAAAAAATAATCACTTTGCTGGCAAGGAAATGCGCATGTAATTATGGAGTACTCCGTATATTTGAGAATTTCTATGGCGATGCTAAGCGTGCAACATTCACAGAGGTTTCCCTTGTCGCGGAAACCAGCTGCCTCAGACTCTTATCGTATGCATGTATACTGAATGCTTATCGTGTTGGCTCCTGTTTCGACGTTTGATTTTGATCACTCGTCCATCTTCGTGTTCCACGTGAGCATTTGCAAACTGGAATCAAATTTCCCCTGTATCCTTGTGGTATACGCCTCTCAGAAGTGAACGTCTGGGACAGACCTGTGCCCGTGTTGTTCTTATTTCGACGTTGACAATAGAATCGAGAAACCTGTCGTGCGAATACTGTGGTTAAACCTGATATATAATAGGCAAATTTTACTATAGTACACTGAAATTGTGTTGTTTTAGGTCTAAGACACCGCAAAAACTAACTTTTGGGAGAAAACACTTTATAATCGTGGTATTTTGCCATTGGACACCGAGCCGACTAAAACAATAATTTCCATGTGCCCACATGGCAGTGACTTTAGCATGAGGAGGAGCAGAGGCAGCGGCGGTCGACGAGCTTGTCGCTGGCACCGGCGGTGAACGAAGGGGTTTCGCGAGGTGCGGCCAAAAGAGGATTTGTAGAGTGGAGAATTGCAAAGCTAATGGTGGTGGTCTCGTGCACAGTAGTGACCAAAATCAGTGTCAGCGGCGGTGCGAGCGGCGGTGAGCTTTGGCATGCTAGTGCATGTCGAGATCTAGCTTGTTTTAGTGCAAACCCGTGCATGCATATGTGCCTACATGGTGCTTGGATACTCACCTGATGTCGTGCGCGGGCTGGCGAAGATTGGACAACAGCGGCGACGGGAGTAATGGCTCCGGCACCGGCAGAAATGACAGAACGACGTCGATAGCGATAAGCGGCCCAAGGTCTACCAAGGAAGCGTGCGCACAAGATTAGTAGAGCTAGTAGGAAGGCTCACGCCCAAGGAATTGGACGGAATCAGAAAGGGGAATCGGAATCGGAAAGGGGAAGCGGCGGCCAAAGGTGAGGAAGACGATGTCAATCTCCCACCTCGGTGCATGATTCTTGGGGATTTTTGGGGGTCTTCGAGAGAAAGCTGTGGTGGTCACGATGGCATGGTGGCCCGGTCTGGGGTGGTTCACAACGGCCGGAAACAGCGGCAACATCATGGTGGTAGCGCTCGGTGCGTGCTCTAGAGCCGACAATGGCATGGCGGCATTCTCATCGCTGCAGTAGATGAAATAAGACGGTATCAAAAGAAGAATTGTTTGGCATGATGAGGAGAATAGGGAATGCATAAGAGATGGGGATGGCGACGGCTTGGCGATGAATGAGGACGTCATCTTCTTCGCTGCAGATTTTAGCTGCTCCTTCCACCAACGGAGCTGCCGAGCGCACGAAGTAGCCACGGCAGCACCCCCGCCGTCACCTGCAGCGTGCCCTCAACTCGAACCTCAGCAGCCGCGGCGAGGCTGCAACGTGACGCCGGCCAGGTTCCCCATATCGTTTGGCCCGGGGTTACCACCACCCCGTGGCAGCGCGGCTACCACGGTTTTCACGCGATAACCACGAAAAACCGCACAAAAATCGTATTAAAAAAATAACAGTTTTGCGGTTTTACCGTGGTTACCGCGCAGTATACAACGATAACCGCACTTTATCGCCGACAATGAAGAATACAAATTGGAAAAAAAATCAAAAAATACGGTTAAATATGTGTAGAAATTAGAGATAATTGGAAGAATATATAGGATACTTAGAAATCTAACTTTTAAGTGTTAAATTAAAAAATTAGGCATGACCCATTATCATTAAAAATAAATTTACATCACTAGACATAAATATATATAACACCCAATAAATAACATCACTAGACATGGAGAGAGGACTCGAGAGATATTTTCTCCACTAAAGGGCCTTAATGGCCGCATGAACAATCCGAGATCAGGCCCATTCCATTTCTTCTTTTTTTTTCTATTTTCTAATTGACATTCGGTTTAGCCCTCAAATTTGAATTTATCGAACTCTTTTTCAAAAAACTTCTTCACCATATGACACTACAATTCAAGAGCTACATTCATGTTTTTTTTCTAATTTGTTTTGATTTTTTTTAGAAAATTTAAATTTGCTCAAAATTCATCAAACCCTAATAGCCGATAACCGATCTCATAGTGTGGTTACTGCACGATAACGTGAACCCTGACGCCAGCGTGCGCCGCAACGCGGCAGAGCAGAGTAGGGAGGGGATGAGGTCCCATAGGTATTTCGGTCACACCGCGTAAAAAATGGGACCCCTAGCGCCTCGTCAACACAAAATTATATTTTAGTCGGCGCGGTGCCCACTATCAAAATACCACTATTATGAAGTGTTTTCCTCTAAAGGTTGGTTTATGAAGTGTTTTCCTCTAAAAGTTAGTTTTTTCGGTGTCTTACGATTAATACCACACAATTTCAGTATCTTTTAGCAAGATTTGCCAATGTAATAACAGGTCGGTTTTGTCCGGAGCCGGATTCAAAGTCTCAAAGATCGTGAATCCAAAATGGATAATGCCAAATGTCACCTGCAAGATCATCTCCAAGGATTTGCTGATGCGGTTTTGGGTAATGGGTTTGGCTTCCCAGAAAAAACCCATGATCATCTCCCAAGAAGTGGCTATATACCAGCTAAAATTAATACTCGTCGGTTGCTGGCGACGTGCCAGTTGCCACAACGCCGCGGCCTCCCCGATGGCATCCAACAAGGTTTGGCAAAGGCGTACACGGCGTTCTGGGTGGGCACCGCCGTGGGTGAAATACGTTGCCGCCTTGCCGCGTGGATCACATGAACGACCGAACAAATCGAACCATGGGCAAATGCAGCATCGCAGTAACAAATGCACAATCAGGACTGCACTAGGGAGAATGGATCTTCTCTCTCTCAGTGACCTCTAGGAGAGGGTGAAGGGCTTGGAGCCGCAGGGCTAATGGCGTCCAGCCACGTATAGCGTGCGTCAGGTTGGTGCTAAGTTCGTCTTTGGTATGTAAGCCCGTGGTGCGTGTTTTTGTCTCTTTTTTCTAGCTATAATCTTGACGTGTTTTCCTTTCTTTTTTCTAGCTATAATCTTTTAGGATTGTAATTTGTGATTTCTTATTAGTACGTATAAAACTTCACATCGTTTGGTACCGTTTGGTGTGTGTGTGTATTGTTTCTTTTAAAAAAAATGATAACAATGCTAGTACCTTAGATAAGAGTTCTCAAAAAAGTATCTTAGATAAGAGAAACAAGCAACATGACACCCAATTACAGTCTCTAAAATAGCATAAAGACTCTCATCACAAGACGTCAAGACCCTAATCTCATCGCATAAATCACATTTTCACACATACAAATGTACTCTTAACACCACAGCACAGCATCAGTTGCTATTGCACCGTTGCACGATCGCTCGATCACCCGACGCTGGCTCTGCTCGAACTCTTTCGATCAGGCCACCAGCACATACACCGCGTAGATGATCCCCGGGATGTATCCCAGTATGGTCAGCAAGAGATCGATCCAGAACTCAATCTGCAAACAGTACCCCAAATCAGAAACAGGATCCAAATCAAACGGCATCAAACACACACACAAGCACATACTGCAACAAGAACTATATCAGTTAAGAATTAAGTGTGCCTCGCATGCAACTTACACCCAAGCCGTAGCGCAGGAAGACGCCGACCGGCGGCAGGAAGATGGCTAGGAGCACCTCCAGGAACGTCGCCGACGCCATTCTCCCTCTTCTCAGAATTTCTTGTCAGGCAGAAGGCTCTCTCTCCTCTTCTCAGACCTCTCTCTCTCCCTCACTGACGAAATGGCTGGAACTGAGGCCGATCCACGAGACCACACGTCCGTTTATATCCTGTATTTTTCAGTAACCATGCGGTTCTGGAGATCGGGCGTACGTGTCAGGCGATGGCATGAGGCCGTCGCGGTTGCACGCCACGCATGGCGGTTCGTTGCGTACTGAAGTGGATTACTCTATCTAGTACTTAAATTCTGGGGCTTCTGGCTTTCCAGCGTCGTTTTCTCCCGGTGGCTGGTGAGTTGTTTGGAGAAAAGAACTAAAGAAGGCAATGGCTATCTGCCTTTTGGCTTGCCCTGCTTGTTTGCACCTGTACTGTGTATCTTCGAGGCTCTTTTGTGATGCGTGTTGATGATGGTAGATACGACCATGCTGCATGGACACTGGGCACCAGTTGTCAGTTTGTTTTCTTTATCATAACAACGTGTGGTAGAAGTTGAACTAATGACTCGGATAAATTGGCTTTTGTTACGCGGGTGTTCGGACTTCGGAGTTTGCGTGTACAAGTGTACTCCCCAGGTAAAAAAAAAAAAAAAAAAGACAAACCCTAGTTTCTATGTTTGACCGTCCGTCTTATTTGAAAAAATTATAAAAAAAATTAAAAAGAAAAGTCACGCATAAAGTATTAATCATGTTTTATCATCTAACAACAATGAAAATACTAATTATAAAAAAATCTATTATATTATTAAAGGAATAGAAAAAGGAGCCTCCGCGTTCGCTCTCATGGCCTAGAAATTCTCACATTAATCGGAGAGAAAAAGAAAAGACAGAGTCCATATAGAAATACAATTTAGAAATAGTTGAAATTCGAAATTAAAAAAAATAAGGAATATTAGAAGAGGAGACTAGAGTCCATATAGAAATACAATTTAGAAATAGTTGAAATTCGGAATTAAAAAATAAGGAATATTAGAAGAGGAGGCTAGGAAAAAAATAAAATAGAAATTCGGAATTAAAAAATAAGAAATATTAGAAGTAGAGTATAGAGTCCATATAGGAATTTAAAACTAACTAAAATTTGGAATAAACATAATAAAATTAAAAGTAGAGTTTAGAGTCCATATAAAAATATAATTTATAAATAAAAAAAATCAAAATTAAGAAAAACATGGGAAGAAGAGTTTAAGGTCAATATAGGAATACAATTTAGAAGTAACTGAAATTCGAAATTAAAAGTTAAAGAATATTGAAAGATGAGTTTAGAGTCCACGTAGAAATACAATTAGAAATAATAAAAAAATCATAAATAAAAATAAATAATATTAGAAGAAGAGCATAGAGTCTATATAGAAATACAATTTACAGAAAATTCGGAATTAAAAAAATATATTAAAAGACGAGTCTAGAGTCCATATAGAAATATATATAATTTACAAATAACTAAAATTTGATATTAAAAATAATTAATAACTAACACGTATATAAAATATAATATAAAAATTCAGAAATAAAAATATATAATATTGGAAGAAGAGCATAGAGTATGTATAGAAATACAACTTACAGAAAATTCGGAATTAAAAAAATATTATAAGACGAGTCTAGAGTCCATATAGGAATATATATAATTTACAAATAACTAAAATCTGATATTAAAAATAATTAATAATTAACACGTATATAAAATATAATATGAATATTACACATTAGTAGTTTTGTAAAGTTATTACAAAATTTAAAATTATATTGTCATTTTAATATATTTGAATAATATAATGAGAAAACATATATACAATTATATGAGAGAAAATATAATGATGCTAGCCGCGCAATCTGCGCGAGCCACCATACTAGTTTCATATAAGACGATAGTCAAACGTTGGCACGGAAATCTAAAGTTTGTCTTTTTTGGGGACGGAGGGAGTAACCCTCAGCTAGCACGTTAATCAGGACTACAGCAAGTTCATGAAAGAAAGGTTTTCAGTTCATGACAGTTCTACAAAAGGTTTTCCGTTCATGACAGAGAGAAATATCTGAGTAAAACGTACTGGTTTCCTTGTTTTGCTCCTTGATCTGAAGTCTGAAAGATCGGGCGAAATATAATTGTAGTACTACGGAAAACCTTACCGAGTCTCTAATGACAGTAGTCAGTAGGAGGTTTTTTTTCCCCGTTTGGGATTTGAGATGATTCACAGTACAAGCTTGATGCGAACGACCGTGGGTCATCGGTGGCGCAGGTAGGCCGTGGGTGCTCAGACTGCACAAGATTGGCATCCGGTAGTTTGTAACGGGCCGGCCAAATTTTAAACAAAGGTTGTGTATTTGGCGGTGGAATAAGTTCACCTTTGAATCTTTGATCACTCAGCTTGACGTTGAGTTTTTATTACAACATTGAACTGCAATTACAGATATAATACGTCCCTCAAATCTCAAAATCATTGCAAACAAGATTCCTATACAGTTTTTACTGATGTGGCTGATTCGAGTTAGTCGTCGTCCTACGTGGTGTTGACATGGCACTAGAAGCAAGATTTTAAAAATATAAAAAGTTAGTCAAACAAAAAAAAAATAAAAATAGTGGAACCCACGTCGATGAGTCCCACTCTCCTCTCTACCTCTCACACGAAGACGGGAAGCCGCAGTGCGAGGGTGCGGTGTCGGCCAGTGCACCGCCCACCTTCGTCTTGAAGCAGCGTTGGTGACGAGCTGTCGTGGGAGGAGGCGTCCGAGATGAACTATCATTGTCATGCCACGACATCCGAGATGAGCTATCATTGTTGTGCTCCTCCCCCTAGTCACTAGGTTCTGCTTAGGTGGGCGATAGCCACCTTCGCCCTGTGCACAGAGGAGGAGAAGTGGATGAGGTGTCGATGGTGGAGAGAGGCAAGAAGAGATGTAGGGACGAGATGATGGGGAGAAGTCACCGGTGGTGAGGACGGCAGTCACGGCAGGCGGCAGCACGATATGTGCGTCACGTGTCGGCATGTGGGCGTAGAGGAGATGGTTTAATAGCTGTTAGGTGTAGAAGAGGGTCACGTTGGCGCATATGCGCCGTTCACTGCGTCGACGAGCTATCATCCGTCTCCGCGCTGGCGAGCAACTCCCCATGGCGGTGAAGACGATGAGTCACGGCGGAGATGGGCACCTAGCACCTCTCACGTCGGCTGTTGCCTTGGAGAGAAGAGGAACCATAGGTGCGACAGGAGGTCGGGGGGTGCGAGGTGGTTCACCAAAGAAGCCCATCGCACTTCCAGTTTGCTGCTCATTCTTGTTCGCCACCCATCATGTTTCAACCCGGCGGTTGGTCTAGCTCGGTGATGCATTGCTGCCATTGCCCATCATGTTTCAACCCGGCGGTTGGTCTAGCTCGGTGATGCGTTGCTGCCATTGCCCAGCTTTTGTCCCGCCAGCCGATGCCCACCATCCACTGCACTTCCCTCCGTCAGTCGTCGCTTCGAGAGAGGCGAGAGATGGGGAAGAGAGGGCAAGAGTGGAGAGGAGGAGAGAGGACTAGGAAGACCGCTGACATGTGGGGTCCATGTGAGTCTCACGTTGACTCAGCATCAAGTTAGTTAAAATTAAACACAATATTGTTTTGGGATCTTGGATAGTCTGCTATTATAAGTTAAGAAATATGTTATATTTGAGGGCTGTTTAGATTGTAACCAAAATAAACCTTACCAATATTGCCAAAATTTTGGCAGGATTTCTTATGAATTTACCAAAGTTTGGCAATAAACTAAATATAGACACATCTTAGTGACGGATGCAGCTTTAAAATAAAGATGGGACGGAGAACAAAGATGTTTACTTGATAAGAGCAATCGAACACAACACATCGTATTAATAGTTCATTCGCATCACTGTCTCAATATGTTGGGTGTTCATACCTTGTTATACATAATTTTAATGGTCCATGACTGCTATAAGGGGATAAGCGGGTCTTCAGGGTGTGGGGCGACACGAGCCGTAGCTTAGTCGGTCGACCCACCCTGCCTAATAGGTAGATCCACCCCTAATCTTTGGCAAGTTTATTAAAAAATGGTACGGTTGGAAATGACATCAATCTGAATAGCCCCTTCCTGTTAGGGTTCAATGATGGGCCAGTGTTTACTTTTTTCCAAAAAAAATTGGGAAAACACCTTCGGAATCTTACAGGGTTACGAGCAGTTTCACCTGAAAATAGCATCTGGTATGATCAACCGATGGTCAAATCGGACTGGCCTTAATACTACGATTTTTCCTGGTACCCTGGATCGACCAATAAATTTTGATTCTGAGGACGAGCAATCAATTTTGATTCTGAGGACTAGCAGTCGATGAATGCCAACATATACACATCATCATCCGTGGATTCCTTTGTACAGTGCTTAATTTTTGCCAGATCTCAACGCATGCCTAATCTGACAGAGTGACAGCTTGGAGCCATCCAGTGTAGCGAACCACATCTCGCGTAGAATCCAATTTACTACGTGCAGCTCCCGACAGCTACAATCTCCTCTTTGAGCGTCTTCCTCTTGCCATCGTGCTTGCTCCCGGCCTTCGCAGGCTTCTTCAGCGTCTGCAGCAACATTGGCCAGTGACTCCACACATCAGAAATTCGGAATTCATTGTTGCAGAACATGGAGTTGAAGACTTTCTGTTCATGCTGACCTTCTTGAGAAGCAGGTCGGTCTGACGCTCCATCTCTCGGATCTGATCCAACGTCATGCCGTACCACTCGTCGATCCACGCGAAGCACAGCCGGTGGCACGCCAAGAACAGCGCCCTCTCCCCCTGCACGCACGCACAGACCACAAGTAAGGCATCACCTCTGAATTTCTTTCTGAACATTGTGTTATGCAGAAGAGATCAAAGCATTTTGTTTTACCGCGATGATGCAGTCTTCCAGGCGTTCACCCAAGCCCCAGATCGGAGCGTCCATGATCACCAGCTTGTACGTGGTCATGACGGGACGGCATGAATCCTGCACCAAATGTCACGTCAGACCTGACGACGCAACACGAGTGTATATTGGTGTTTTCTGAACTGAAACCTGCGTACCATCCAACCCTTCAAGAGAGGGCCTCGGCTCGTCCTCTGCGACCTGAAGGCTGTCAGGTCGACGTTTGGGGCGCTGATCACCTTGCTCCAGTAGTCCCTCGACTGCAACGCGATGTCGACGACCTCTACCTCTCTTGCAGCTAATTGTTCACTGGTTAAATTGTGGGCCTGGTTATGTACATTGTGCTCTCTTAGTATTTGCCGTTTGGTCTGAAAAAGATTGGAGCAAATATGGTTGCTAGATGATTGGAGAGTACTTACGTTCTCAGAGCAGCCATTGTCAGGTCTGATCACAGTGTCGATGGTCAGTGAACACTTGCTAAAAAGCGGGCACTGATAACAAATAATCAAGAAACCTGAAGTTAGGTTGGAAAACTGAAAGAGTATCAGACTTTAAGAGCGAATGGGTTAACTACTCTGTACTCTGTGGTACCTTGATCACTGATGAGGGTCGGAGTAGAAATCATGGCCACATGAACACAGAGAAGGGGAATCCAAATGGAACTTGTTTAGCAAGAATGATCAATTATTAAAACACGACTGCTGCACTTTAATAGCGAAAGGTCTTTGCTAACCTGTCCTGCTGTTTGGATATGCGCACCATGATTCCTCATGCACGGTAAGTGCACTTGCTGGCGCAAAACCTTTCATCCAAGATGGAATTTTGCTGCATAATTTTTACATTTAATTGTATATAAGAACTAGCATTCGGTGAAACACATCAGCATGCATTGCTTAACTTAGGAAAGAAGGTAATGCATGCTCCTAATTAGGACAATAACTTGAAGTCTTTACATCTGCAATGTTCGACATGTTACTCCTTTCTACTACTGATCAACCTCGTTCTTCCTTCTGTTCTTGGATGAACACTTCCTATGATCCTATCTGCTTTCAGTAGCTACGAGATCTAACCTCTTGTAATTAACATGACATGCTTATTCTTATCAAGATTCAAGACTACAATTGATCAGGAACTTCTGAAAGGCCTTGAGGATCAACATATTTTCTGAAACAATTTAATATTGCCTGATTGAATTAAACTTCTGAAATCCATCAGCAGGACTGGCACGGAACAAACTAACCTCTGCAAATGATAATTCTTCGAGGTGTATTGGCCCTTGCCAAGCTTCTCATCCTCAAATGGGACCTGTTGCAGCACCTCGACGCCCTCCTTGCTGTTCGTGTTTTGCTGCTCCATCTTCATGATGGTGTAGCTGATCCCTATTTCATACTGTAACGAAAGGATCGGTTCTGATCAGTCCATTTACCAAATTGCTCGAACCACAAGAATGCAAAGCCTTCAATTGAAAATTTTCCTTTTGCCACACTACTTCTCCATACCTCTTCCATCGACATAGGCACGACGATCCGGCTTGGTGAAAGATTGAAGTCAAGGCATGCCCAAGTTCAAGCAGATGGCACATGATCACCCAAAAATGACAGAAAAAGAACACAGCAAAGAAAAGAAAAAAAAAATCCATGGACACAAGAACTAGTAGGATACAATTCCTTGATCTTAACCATCTCTGAATTTGCACCGATAATGGCCAAATCTGACAGCTTCGATGAGCTGCTCTTGAGAGGGAAATGAAGAGCTTATTTGCTTCTATCTCCCTCTTCTCCGGGGAATGGTTCAGTGATCGTCTGATCGAACAGGGCAATGGAGAACGCAGAAGAAAACCAACTTATCCTCCAAGCTGCACCCTACAAACATCTTCCATCCACCCCCTCCCAAAACCAGAAAATCAGCAAACTCCTCAACTAGTACTATTCTTTCAATCTTTTATCCATTTCCCCACTTGAACCTTCCAACTGATAGAAATCTGAAGGTTTAGGAGGGGAAACGTGCAAAGAATCACCAAAACTAAGAAACGGGCAGGTCCACATCAACCCGGGGGGGTGTGAGGTGAGCAATGTTCTAACGTCACCGGCAACCTTTACGAAACGTACGTATCTTGCAAGTTCTGGAGAAAGATGCCAGCATCCGCGATTCCGCGCGCCCCGGCCGCCCACACGGTCGTGGTCGCCCTTTCGGTTCATGCCACGCCGGCCACTCGGCCCAGGGAGAAACACATGGCCACGAAGAATTTATGCCTTGAAAAAGGCGTCGTCCCATGGATCATGGGGTGTTCCGTTCTCACTTTCTTGCTAGCGATACATTTATTTACCTACAGTGATAGCCAGCGACGCTGTCAAGCCCAAACAATTAGTAGTGTTTTTTTAACCAACTAAATATTTGTAGGTGTCGCCGGTTATTGGCAGTGAAAACGGTAATAGTATAGCTCGGGCGGCCGTCCAATCTGTGTGAGAGTTTCCTGCAGAAAAAGTGAGATGGGATTAACAGTTTAACGCTGCAAGCATGCCTGAAATTTCAACATGAGAGCACACGGTGCGCATTTGATTTTTGATTGATTGTGTGGCGTCCAAAAGTGACTTGTGTTATGATGATAGCTGTTTCGTGTTGTATGTGAGGGAGTTTGCTGGTGTATCAAGCATGGTGCAAGAGGACAACCGAATAAGTTTCGTTGATTAATTACTTGCGACATCAAATACCAGAATAGGTGAACCGGTCGGTAACACCGACACTAATACACAAACAGTTTTTTTTTTAAAAAAAAATAACATGGTAGATGCATAAACACAGACAGAGGAGCTCTTAAATAAAGGACAGTTCCTTTTAAATGTGATGGCTGGCACTCCTAGATAGTCAGTGGTGATTTAATAAGAGTAATTTATGTCCAAACAAGGAGCTCATTGATTTTATGAGTTTATCGAACCAGCAGATGGTTAGATATGAAGTTCAGACAGATTAAGTCCGAGCGAAATGAAAATATATGATATGTATTAAATCCAAGTGAAATGGGGAAAAGGTACTCCAAGATGAAGATTGGCACAAAGGATTGGTAGCATCTGCTGTCTGTGAAGATGCTGCCTGAGACAATTTGTGGATAGAAGATTCGAGTGGATATACCATATACCAGTAGGTAGGATACATGTGGGTGACCTTGTACTATTTGACCTCCTTATATTGTTCTGTCACGCAACCATTTCTTGGGTTTACTTTGGGAGTATATATTGCAGGCATTCATTTGTTTAAAGAAAAATTCACAAGACCTTTCACGTAAATTTATAATTTGTACTTTTATTTTGATCTGAACTTGTTTCTTGTCCCTAAAGAGAAAATGAATAAGTTCATCTAACGTCCCTTAATTTTACACCGAATCCGATTTTCATTCTTAAACCCCAAAACTAGATACAACCAGTCCCCAAGCTGTCAAGACTGGTGTAAAAAAGGTCCCTCGGCGGTTTTGAAGGCGGTTTTAGCTGATGTGGCGCCTACATGGCTGGTTTGACTAGGTCTACGTCCCACGTGGCACCGATGTAGCAATTATATATTAGAAAAATAATAAAACTATGGGCCCACCTGTCAGCTAAAAAAATAATTTAAAATGTTGGGGCCCACATGTCAGGAAAAAAGGTGGGGCCCACATATCAATACATCCTCTCCTTCTCTCTATTTCTCTCCCTTCCAGCTCTTCCTCTCAGCGTCGTCAAATATCGGCGGCGCGGGAGGCACTGCAGACGACGGTGACCGGCAGCGGCCGGGCGGTGTGGAGGAGGGAGGAGGCGGAGGAGGAGAAGGAGGGATGGGTGCCGATGCGGCCGAGCAGCGGTGCCGATGTGGAGGAGCTCGGCCGAGCGACGGCCAGGGGCGGAGCTACAATGGTTCCTGTGTATTCCCAGGAATACCCACTTTTTTTTATCAAGAAACAAGTATTACTTCAATATATACACATGTACACAAATTAGTTAGCCAAGTACTCTTTCTCAATAAGATGCGTATAGATGGAAGGTTTAGAAAAGTGAAAACTCTTGCTGATCTTTCCATTATGATTGTTGAAACAAAGTTGCACAATAGACATGAGATTGTTTTCAAGCTTCTCAAATTGGTTCCAGTGCTTCCAGTAGCAGTCCCATTCATTTCTCCATCAAGAGTTGGATTAAGATAAAGATTTTCGTGCCACGCTTTTCAAACTGCTAAACAGTGCGTTTCGTGGGGAAATTTTCTATATGAAAGTTGCTCTAAAATAACATATTAATCTATTTTTTGAATTTTGTAATAATTAAAACTCAAACAATCATACGCTAATACCACCTCGTTTTACGTAAAAAACTTAATGTTTATCTTCATCTTCATTTTCAGGAGAAAAGAACACCTTCTCAATTTATTCTTCACATAATCTTTTCTGCCATGAATTATGTGAAGAATAAATTGAGAAACAGGCTTGGGGATCAATACTTAAATGATTGCTTGGTCACATTTATTGAGCATGAGATGTTTTTGAAAGTAAAGGACTGTGATATTACAAACCGCTTTCAAGCCATGAAGGAACGCAGAATTAAAGCTACTCTTCCAAGCCATGAAGTAAGTGAAATAGAAAATTAGAGGTACCGTGTAATAATTTGTAGTTTTATTTCTTCGATTATCGGTATTGACAAACTGTGAACCATTGATTTTTTTTACTATGGACTTTTTTTTTTGTTAGACAGGAATACCCAACTTTAAAATCCTGGCTCCGCCACTAGCGACGGCGGCACCGAGGCAGCGGGGCGCGGCTGAGCGGCGGCTTGGCACGAGCGTGGCCGTGCGGTGACGCCGGCCCCGGCGCGGGTCGCGGCCTCGGCGGTGCGGCCGGCATTGTCTTCTCCATTTATTTTCTATTTTCAATTTTCCTTTCTTTTCTTCTTCTTTTCTCGATTCTTTTCTTCTTCCTATGGCGCCGATCACCGTGGGGAGGCGCTCGTGACTGCTTGGGCGGCACGGCTCCTCCGGCCATGTGGCGGCTGGCCGGATCGGCGGCGAGGCAGGCAGCTGGTGCCATGGGCAGCTAGCGCCGTGGGCCTTTATATTGGCATTGATTTGTACGTGTACGTACAACGTACTATCTACCTGCTCGTCTGACAGCAACATGCGCGGCTCTGGCGGCCACGGCGGACGGCGCGGCGTGGCCGACGAGCATGAGGAGGCGACGGATTGAGCGCCATCCTAGCGGCTGGGGGCCCTCCTCCGACCTCTGCTCCGGACCGCCGCCGTCCTCCTCATGACCCGTCGTCGGCTGTCGTCCTCCCGTCAGCCGCATCTGGGAAGGAGGAGGGGAAGAGGGGAGGAGATAGAGAAGACCGAGTTGGGCTTGAGTGCTGGAGGATGACGATGGTGGTGGAGGCGGGTTGGCGGCGGAGGGCGTGCCCCACTCCCTCTCCCGCCGGCACCGCGTGCCGCTCCCTCTCCATCGCGACTGAGAGAGGAGAGGGGAGAGAGATATGAAGAAAGGGGAGATGTGAGAGGAGGAAGAAGAGGAGGGGTGAGAATGACACGTGGGCCCTATTATTTTTTATTAATTTATGTGCGAAACTGACATGTGGGTCCCATGGGCTTTATTATTATTCTTAGATCAAATTGCCACTTAAGCGCCACGCCAATGCCATGTCAGATGAAGACCGAGTCAAATTAGCCACGTAGGCGTCACGTCAGTCAAAACCGCTATCTAAACAGCTAAGGGATATTATCTGCACCAGTTTTGATAGTTAGGGCACCTAATGTATCTGGTTTTTCGGTTCAGGGACGAAAATCGGATCGTTGACAAATTAAGGGACCTTAGATGAACTTATTCCAACAGAAAAAAACCAGTTCTCTTCCCAAGAGAGGCTCCACCTGAAGGCCCATCTTAAATAGTTGATCGGTGTGTTGTGTTACACCGATGCAATAAGTTCATTTTGTGTCCCTTTAACTACAATGCTAGTAGAAATCTTCCACCTCCATCGTGCACACCCGGATTAAATAAGATTCTCTCGTAATATGAGATGGTTGTTTTTGGCTGACGTGACATTCCAGTCTTATAAAAGTAAAAAATAAATGGAGCCTCATGTCATTGACATCCTTTCTTTCTCATCTACCCCAACCTCTCCTAGCGAGAACTAGCGATCGGTCCTGTCCTCGGGAGGGTTCAATCTTTCGTTTTCGACGTTCTATCGGAGGGTGCCCATATACCGAAATTTTAAATAAAATTGGTCAAATTTGAACAAAATATAGCGAGAAATGCCCAGGGGTCTTCCGGCTAGCTCCACAAGTTGGTGGGTTAGACGACCTGGGTTCAAAGCCTCACCCCTCCTAATTATTTGATATTAGATCCTTCCCTAATTTCTAGTTTTTTTTGAACAAAATATAGCTAAATTCATTAAAAAAAGCTTAAAAATAAAAATTTTAGCCAAAATAATATCATTCCGAAAGTTTTTGAAATTTTTGTTCCGGAATTTTGAACCATGGTCCTTGGTCCAACGACGCCGCCGGTCCGCCGATCTGGTGGAGAGATCTCCTCGATCCTCTCCTCCATGCAGTGACCTCGTCAAGCTAGACCACTCAGCAACGATGGAGGAGGGCCTCAAGATGGCAACAGGTGCATACTATCGGGTTCCTTTGCTCCATACCCACACTCACGATGACTAAATATTTTCACTTAAATACCCACATCCGGCGGGTACAAAATCATCCTCATACCCACACCCGTGCGGATAACGGGTACCCATACACATATAATTGACTTGTAGCATATATAGTTTTGTACTGTAATTAGCCATATTAGAACTGTAAGTTATCAATATTTTCTCTGGCAACAATGCTATTAACATTAGCGTTCAAAAGGCAAATAAAAAAACTCTACAACAACATTACATAATCAAAAAATCAAAATAATTTCATATAATAGACTGGAAGAATGCTTAAGATGTGAAATGAGTTTTATGCTATGATTTAGTAGTCGTTAGGACTTTTACTCATAGTTTTAGGCTTAATCTACGGGTTTTTTTCACCCACGGATTGGTGGGTACAGGTGGGTAAAGAGCGGACTATACCTAGGTACCCAACGAATAGGAGTTTTCGTCCGTCAATAGGTCTATGGGTATAAGAGTTAGAATATAATTAGCTTTTAATAGAGTAAAAATCCATCGGGTGTGGGGTTACATGTCCCCATTGCCATCTCGGAGGGGACGCGAGTGGTCCGATGGAGTTCCCAGACTGACGTAACGTGCACGAGGCTCCTGTTGGTGTTCGAGACTTCCATCGAGCCGCCCATCGTGGCGGCGTTGCTGCAAACGGCGTGGGACGCGCTGTGGCCTCGCCGTCCAACTCCTCTTGCGAACCGCTCGACCTTCATCCCTCGTCGTTGGCCTCCCCATCCTCCGGCCATACATGCCGCAGTGCCGCAGCCTCGATCAACCGGTGCCACCATGATTCGTCCTCCTCGTCGGCAGCGATCGTGTCCTCGTCTCCGGATGCCGACGACCCCCTGACATGTGTCTTTTCAATGTGACCATCTCCGGATGCTCCACGGCGGTGAGGAGGGGAGGCAAAGCTCATGCTCAGTACAACAAGGATTAGGTTGTGTTCTTCACTTGAAGTTTTCAACCTCACTTCCTCGTTTACCATACGCTTTCCAAACTATTTTCTTACAAAAAAATCTACAAAATAAAGTTGCGAGGCGCCTATAAATCGGATGCCCGATTTTTTTTCAAAAATCGAACGATGTTCCACCAAGTAGATCGGAATTGTTTCACTAAGTAGATCGAAAATGTTTTAATTGTTTATAAAGCTAAAATACAACCAAATCATCTCATGAAACATTTTGCTACAACGTATAAAACAACGCCTTTTGAAACTGTTTCACCATATATAAAAACAATTTTTCAGCAAATAGCGAAAGAATGTTTCAATTCACAGAAACATTTGATCTATATATAGTGAAACAATACGAGTATACTTGGTGAAACATTATTGGTGGAAAAAATGAAACGAATTCCCTTAATAGAGCATTTCCGTAATATGTGAGTGATTTATTACAACGGCCCATGTGGTGGGGCGCGTGGTGGGGATGGTGCGGAGGCGCTAGGGGCACGGGCGGAGGCGGGCGCCTGAATTTTCTGCCGCTGATCGGACGCCCGATCGCTGGCATTTTCTAAAAAATTGCTATAAAAATTATATTAATATATTTTAAGTTTTTAAAGTTGATACTTAATTAATCATGCGTTAATCTGTTGCTCTGTTTTACGTGTGGAGAGGAGGGGTTACCGACCCCTGCAAAAACACAGGCTTAGTGTATAGGTCGAGCTAAACATGATTAGTGCTCTTTCACGGAGGCCATTAGAGTCATCGCTTTGAGCGACACATGCACCAACTAGAAGTTGTTGTTGCTGCTGCTCGAAACATGCATGAGCTCGTCCTTAGTACAGCGAGGCCGGCCGGTTGCCTGCAAGACTGCACGTCTGCAAACATGAACCATGCCGCCGGCCGATTCGGCGGGGGTCGGCAGCCACATGTCAGTGACCCATGCGAGCGTCGTTGGGCACGCCGAGGCCACCGTCCGACCGTCGGCGTGGAGAGAGAAGATGCGAGAGAGCTAGAAAGGCATAGAGGAGAAAGAAAGGGTCACATATATTTTTCATTTCTTTTTCTGACTGTATCTGAGCGATGTTTCGCTTATTCGCGCGGTATATTTGTAAACGGAAAGTAATTTATAAATAAAACTTTTATATATGTATTATTAGCGATCTAAAAGGAAAAGCTGAAAAATAAATTTCGATGAAAAAAATTTAAAATCAACTCTAAGTTTAAGGATAAAAGGATCTTATTTAATCCGATTTTGCAAGATGGAGACTAAAAATTTATGATAATATTGCAATTAAGGGATGTAATTTAAACTCGCTTGGAAATAAGGGATGTGGACTTATTCCTACTCCGATCTGGCCTTGGTAACTTGGTTTGTCCAAGTCTCCAAGAGAAGAGAAGCCCACTTATTGTTTGGGCTTACACAGCACGCCGAATTGACTCGATTAAAACGGGTAGGCTAATCGTGGCAGCATATGGGACACGTCTTGCACGTGTTGTGGGGTTCGTACCCGTACCCTGCACGTCGTACAATTTCGCACTTTTTTCTCTCTCGCTCGTCTCCTAATCCTTTCACCAAGCTAAAAGCTTCACGATATGTCGTGCCGGCCGCCGCAATCACAACTCGATGTTTCCAACCGGAGTGGGGAAGCAGCCGAGCCGGACACATTTTAGGCAACATATTGGACATTCTGTACACGGAGACAAAGGATTTGCCCGTACCCATGCGGCATGGTTCTGGTCAAGACTGATGGTGTATACCACCAAACAGATTAACTAATCGATTACTAGTAGCTAGTAGCCTAGTACTGTAGTTAACTAGTCGATTACTAGTTTCCCGGAAACTACCATGGCCAATCGGTCCATAAAAACAAATTAAGACAAGACAGACAGTAGCATGCATGCATGCATGTATCGGAAAGCTTAGGCTGGCTAATCATCAGTTAGTTACTGGTTTTTGTTCTGTTGTGACACTGTCAATTAGTTACTGGCTTTAATTTTGTTCTGTTGTGTGACAGTGTCAGTTAGTTACTGGTTCAAATGGCAGATTGGCAGCCGGCCGGCCGTCTACGATGACCGTAGGCGATCGTCATTTCGTATGGTCTGGTACTCTGGTTGGCGCATGCATATATGCTAGGCTAGGCTAGCGAGACTTGGAAACGGTACGTGTTAATGTGACAGTCCAAGTAGCCAAAGTAGGTTTCTGGAGATAGAGTTAGGCAGCCTTCTTTTGGGGGCTTCTGATCGATGGTGATCGACCAGTTGCTAGCTTCGTGAGAATTAATATAATTGAACAATATTTTGGGATCTGTTGCTCGTGCAGCGAGTGTTTGTTCAAACTACGTACGCTACAGTTGCCGCCGGGAGCTAGTACGTCGCAGGCACATGTTTAATGTTCATACGGATTGACATGTTCCACAGAGAGAAAAAAAAAAACAGGCTGATCGAGGGAGAAAAACGACAGCTGCTAGCCAGCTGAGCTAGAAACTAAAATGTTATTCAAGTGCAGTAGCAGATTTTTTTTTCAACAAGCTGTCTCCAGAGCTCGGACAAAAACGTACTACATGTTCAATGGCCACCAGCACCATCGTACATATTACTTGTGAACATGCGTTTCCTAGTTCCTACACGATGTTTTTTTTAAATATATATATATATATATATATATATATATATATATATATATTAATTACTTACTCCCCCGTCCTAAAATATAATCATTTTTTACTTCGACACATTTTTTGAGATGTTACTTTAACGAAAAATAAAAAGAGTCGTATATTACGATGGTTTGTTTAATGATAAATATAGTAACATCAATTTTAGTAGATTGATTTTTTTTATTTTTTTCTATTAATAGTCAAAGTAAAAATATTTGATTTGGCACTATACTAAAAATGCTTATATTTTAGGACGGAGTGAGTAGAGTATTTTTAATTTTTTTAACTTTGTAATATTTATTTCATTCAAAACAATCATACTGGGCTATATAAGCGTGTTTTATTTCGACCGAACGACGGGAGTTGGTCTGCTAATGAATCAAACTAGCAGGACTGACAGATACGTACTGCGCTACGGCAGTTCGTGAGCTCGCAAATGTAGCTTTCGTTCGAGTTCCATCGATCTCCTTCAGTCGATCGGAGTAGTGTATTGTCAACCCACTGCATGCCTAACATCAGTTATTTTTGCAAAACACGTACAGCGCGAATTTTGTGATGGCCACTAGCTAGTCGCCAGCTCACAATTTAACAAGTGTTTCACAGGCTTACAAGAACTCCTACAGAACTTTACTTGATCGACCCTGCTCATTGCAAAATATCTGATCTTGTTTTAAATCTGAAGAACATAACACTCTGAAAGCAAGCATAAACTGTTCCGGCCGGCTGAAGTATGTATAACCGTTGCTGTTACATGTACTCGAAGCACGACACTAGCTAAGCCGCCAGGTACTAATTATAGTTCCTTCTTTAAACTGATCTGTTTCTAATTACAGTACTTAATTACTACTAGTGCTCTAGATTATTAATTACCCTGCATGCCAAATACGGAGTATGGTAGCTTAGCTTAGCTTAGCTAGCCGCGCTGACCATGCAAATTTGTATCACGTCCATAGCTGGGGCTCGCCCCACGCCGCCGAGTCCAGGTCCGAGTCGTAGAACGGCTGGTACACGGTGGCGCCGAAGCCTGCGCCGCCGCTACAGTACTCCGCCGGGTGCGGCAGCGGCGGCGCCGGCGCCTGGTATTCCAGCTGCTGGTCGTCGTCCCGGCGGCGGTGCGCGAGCTCGACGCAGACGAGGGCGACGAGGTTGTCGTGCTGCGCCCGCGCGTTGAGCAGGTCGGCCTGCGCGCGCGCGAGCTGCACCTTGAGCTCGTTCGCCTCCTTCTGCAGCCGGCACACCGCCCCCGCGCACCCGTACACCGGGTCCCGCAGCCTCGCCTCCGCCTCGTACACCATGCTGCTCACCGCGTCCGCCCGCGCGCTCTCCGGCAATTCCTGCACGTTGCCGCACGTCGGTCGATCAGCAATGTGCCACGACGATCGATCGATCGAAATCCTCGCTCTTACGTGCGGGCGTACTATGTATATACCTGGAGGAGCTTGATGATGTTGCTGGCGCCGAACACGCGGTGCGCGGTAGTGAACTTGGTCGGTTCGGTAGGAGGGAAGTAAGGAGCCAGCACGCAGCCGTCGGCGCACCGGCGGCGGAGCACCTTGCACGCGGCGCACGGGCTCAGCACGACGGTCGTCGTCGGTGACGACGACGACGACGTGTTGCCCACCAGCAAGGAGGCGGTGCCGACAGGAGGTGGTGGCGGCGAGCACGACGACACCCTCGACGGCGGCGACACGGACCGCCCGTAATGCGGCTGCTGCGCCACCGTCACGTTCGCGACCGTGTTGCCAGCGTGATCCATTATATGACACAGCCTAGCGCAACACAGGGCTATAGCAAGCAGGAGAAGTAGCTAGAGAGACTCTGGTATTGACCTGCTAATTAAAGATCCAAACAGGAAGGAGGTATATATAGAGAGACGGGGACGACGTGTGGAGATTTTTCTGCGCGTGCGACTTTGCTGCCAGAATCGATCGATGCTCCGTGGAATTTAGAACACGTCGGAGGACACGATCATTCGATCAGATCAACATCAAATTAGTTGCCAGTTTTTTCCTAACACAGATATTATACGTGCTTTGCTTGACCAAGTTTGGCAAGTTTTGAAGGCTTAATTAGGTAGGTGCTTAATTATACCTGTAGTACATGCATTATTCCTTCCATGCATGCTTGCAATCTTGCATAGCTAATAGACATTAGGCATATGCTGCATTAATTGCTACTATTAGTTTACTCTATACTCCAGCTTGTAGCACAATTATATATGGGAGTACCGCTATATGTACGATCCGTTGTACAACTCATATACATGTAACTATATATCAATTAAAGTAAAACATATTTATATACACTGTAGCCGTTTACCACCGTTAATTAAATTTTGTCGTACGTGAGTCGGACAATTAAGTTATATGCATAGCAATTTTCTATATATGGCATGTCGTTGATTTAAATATATATGCTTGCAGTTATCATATATCAACTAGTTGGTTATATTTTTTAAAAAAAACAATAGTAAGTTAAATTAATATGTAATACTATATCACTCAATAAACATACGAGCTCAAATTTAACCTCTAGAAATTGTAAAAAAAATTAAACCCTAAGTTTGTATATCCACAATGAAATTTATTATTTTTCTCTAATCCGTAGAAGTTGACTTTGAACTTATAAATTTGTGAAGTGATATATTACATATTAATTTATATCACTATTTTATAAAAAATATATAAATATTTAGTTAATATACACTGATCGAGTGAACATCTGCTCTAGTAACTATAAACGAGTTTCCCTTTCTTTTTTCTGCTCATATTTTTGCGTTGCCCAAACGGCAGGTCGACAGCGTACAGGACCTCCTTGCGATGGAGGCGACCCTGACGCCGACTCTCAAACCAACTGTTCATGGGGGCCCAAAACCAAGACCAGGTTGAGCGGCAGGTTGGAACGGAGGCGATAAAAACCAAAGTCTGTACACGTTTAGTCGCCGTCGATCGCCTTGAACGGGCATACACTTATGACATATGTGGCCGCCCATTGATCTGTCTGGATATCGTCCATAACTCCATATATAGGTTGGACCGTTAGTATGCAAGTCAGGCTGAATTAATATGTGTATGCCCTTGGAAATCAAAGGGGACATGCATAACTTGTACGATAGGGTACAGTAATACTACTCCGAAGTCGTGCTAGGATTGTGTTCTTTCTTGGCTACAGTTATATATTTGATCTTTTTTTTTAGCTGATAGCTGAGTACTTTTCAGCGAAGGACACAACCAGGACAGTCGGATGCATGTACGTATTTAGCTAGCTAGTCTGTGTTTAGATCTAAAGTTTGGATTCAAACTTCTAACTTTTTCCATCACATTAATCTATCATACACACATAACTTTTCAGTCACATCGTACCAATTTCAACCTAAACTTCTAACTTTAGAAGGAACTAAACACAGCCCTACTCCACTAGTGATTAGAGGCTACTAAAATTACTTGATCACTAACTGTGCATTTAACTCTATATGCTGAGTCTGAATACACAAAGCCGCATCGACGAGATCAGTGACTATCATCACCAATGCTCTTCTTATCATCACTCGGTGTAGGGCTGGAAATGAGCCGAGCCAAGCCAGGCTCGGCTTGCAATGGCTCGCAACAAGCTAGGCTTGCCTTGGCTCGGCTCGGGTTGGGAAACGAGCTAAAACATGAGCTCGGCTCGGCTCGTTTCCTGGCTCGAGCCAGCTCGAGCTGGCTTGCGACCTTCCGTTGAAGCTATATAATTTGTAATCATTAAGAAAAACAATGACAAATCATTAATATGTAAAATTAAAATAACTTTATATATTCAATTCATCAGAATATAGATAATAAATTACATATTGACAAATAATAACTCCACTAGAAAATAAAATTATCCATATAAATACATGATGGCCTAGACTCACGAGCCAAATCAAGCGGCTCGCGAGCTAGCTCGGGTTCGGCTCATTTCAGGAACGAGCTGAAAAGTAGGCTTAGGCTTTCGCTCGTTTGGCATTCAAGCCGATCCGAGCTAAGCAAGCTCGAGCCAAGCCCGAGTTAAGCTCACGAGTCCAAGCTTTTTTTCCACCCCTAACTCGGTGCGTGCATGTGAGGCTCCGATTTTGTTGGAGACGTGCATGTGAGCCTCCGATTTTGCTGGGAGACGATGGCTCGATCGATCGATCAAACAGTTCGCAAGCAGCATGCACTCCGGTGTCAAAGGTTTCTGTCTGCTTCAGGAAGCATGACTTTTCCACTAGAGTCTGAAGATGCAGCTGACCGACATGGACTTCGCCGCATGCTACGCAGCCTAGATTTCCACATTTACACATCTTCCCGTTTTGTCATACGCGAGGCGCCCAGTCAGAGGGTAAGAGCAAGTTTTAAGAGCAGGTACAATAGCAGTCTATTAGCCAGTTATAAATATATTTTAATGAGATAAAAAATGAGAGAGAAAAGAAGCGGGCTACAGATCTGTAGCCAGCTGCAGCACGAACTCCAGGACGCAGTGTGTGTATGATATGTAGGACCATATATTAATAGTATAGTAAGCAACTGTGGTATAAATTGGCTATTATATTGGCTATAGATAAATTGGAGCTAGTAGTGGGCTATACTATTAAATTTGCTCTAATAGTATATCCCGATACTAACTCCAAATCATCTATAGCCAATGTAATAGCCAATTCATACAATAGTTGCTTACTATACTATTATACCTGGTCTCATATGTCATATACACATTACGTTTTGGAGTCCGTGGTGCAGCTGGCTATAGATATGTAGCCCACTGATCTTCTCTCTTTCTTTATCTTTTTAAAATATATTTATAGCTGACTTATAGTCTGCTATTGTACCTGCTCTAAGCCATATATTGTCATGCTCGTCGGGCACGCGCGAGACAGGTACGAAGCGACGCTTCGTGATCGCTTTTCCGGTCTCTGCCAAGCGCCGGTATCAAATCACTCTGAATTTCCGGTGCACGGTTTAGAAAATTGCTCCCATAATCCCATTGCTGTTGCCTGTAAGCCCAAAGCTAGCTACCCGTAGTATACTAGTACTATCTTCCAAGAGTTAACGTTCAGTTGCACCTATATTTATTATTTTTGTTACAATTTATAGAAGTTAAATTTAACTTTGCATATTTATATGATATATTTTATATTAATATATGTTAGTCAATTTTTATGGTTATTTAGGTGATATCAAAAGAGAGAGAGAGAGACAGAGTATCCGTGAAGAGAGAGCCATATATAACCTGCAGCACTGCCGGCCCAGTCAACAGTTCTTGTTCTCATCTTTGAGTTTTCCAAAAATGGCCATGCTCAGGGGCGGAGCCAGTATAATTAGGGGGTATCCAGTAACTTGGTTCAAAAATTTTTTTTATCTATAGTTTATCTATTTTCATCATGTATATACCCCGTCAGTTTAAATATAGGCACCCGTACCAAGCTAAATTTGATTCAAACCAGAGTAAAGCAAGTGAGTGGAACACCCCTTCATTTTGTTCTAGCTCCGCCCCTGGCAATGCTGTCTTGCAATTAGGCTTGTTCTCGGTTAATCTCTCTCTGAGGATTAAAGGAAAACTAGAGAAAATTAATTTCATAACTATCGAGATGTTGGAATTAATCCTTCTCAATCTTCTTCAATCTCTTTCTTAAGGGAATTAACCGAAGTGGGCAATATTTGTAGACCGCAGGCATAAAACAACACTTCATTGCAGCTCTTCTTGCTGTCCTGGAGAACACAAGGACAAGGTGGGGCAAGCAGATTACACATTATTCAGTACTTAGGGCATGCTGTTAACATGATGCCAGGGTTTATGTACTGGAAATTCGGCTTTGATTGACTTGATTGGAGCCCACAACTCATGTTGGAAAATAAATAACGGTAACAGCTGTCATTTATTCAAAACAACTCCTTGTTTTATGTGGACTTATGTTCATCCTAAGCTCCCTTTGTCTAAAACATGCACGCGTCAAGTGATAAAATCTACACAAGTAGAAGAAATGGCACATTGTATCCAGAAGTCAGCTTGCACACCTTAATGTTTCAAATTTCCAATAATTATTCAAAGGTGTTTCAACCCCAATGATATGTTCCTAATTTTTTAATTCACTATCTTGTGGAAAATCTGACAAAGGACGATCTAATCTACGGCTATAGGGTACGTCAGTTAGGTCCAATCCGTTCAATGGACGTCCTTTTTTATTCTCTTCTCCAAGATCACGTTGCCCTGGGACATCATGATCTGTTCATCATTAACAAACCAACACAATCATTGTGTGGCAATAAGATGAATTAGTTAGGTTAAGGGAAGCTTTTCATATGGCCGCATTGAACATTCTGTGCCTACTCAAGTCTAAAGCCGTAAACTTACTCTTACCATGCTGGCCTCGTGCAAACTTTACAACGCACAGGCACAGCAATCCTAAAGCAATCGATCCATACTGTTTAGTCTTACAAAAAAATGATTCATATATACTCTTGGAAAATAATGGATCATTTTTGTTTGAAGCCAAAATATGCTCTGGCTCGTTAAATAGTACATTGTCTATGTCTAGTTTGCTAAAAAAAATGTGCGATCAAGGCAGATAAGCTGTCAAAATACTGGCAATACCAAAACTTCTCTACATTTTAGCATGGTAGCAAACTAAAACAACCCAAAGTAATCAACTGTGACATCCTTTACCTACCCTGCATAACTTCATTCGATTACTCAAAATAACCTATATAATAATCATTGCAAGTCTCTTGAAGATCTGATAGTACATCATATTGACAAACACATTGACTGAGAGAGAATAGACTGACCTCATGAACAGTTCTCTTCCCCAACCAGGCCAACTAAATTAATTCCTCATGTCCCTTGGATA